TTCTGCACATTCCTCTCTCTTCTCTTTTATGTGGGGTAAAATTGAATTTATGTTAGGCCTTGTCTCTTTGATAGATAGATAGATGATAGATAGATAGATGATTGATAGATTGGTAGATAGATAGATAGATAGATAGATAGATAGATAGATAGATAGATAGATGCAACCCTGCCTCCCATTTTGGTTCCTAAATAAGATGGATACAAAGATGAAAAGCTGCATACCTCCCTGACATTTTGCCTGCAAGGAAATTCCTCTTGGGCCTCAAGATCTTTACCCTGAAGCATTTCTGTTAAATTTCACCATGGCTGTGTGATAAGCTCTCTTCACAGGTGCAGGGACACTGGTCAGAACTCAAAGTAATCCCTCTGCCCACAGAAGAGAAATGGATATCTGATTGTTTCCTCTGCCCTATTGTCTACTTTATCTTTTGTAAAAATGCAGATTCATTGAGCCAGACAAAGGCATGAAAGACTGTTCCTTCCTACCTAACCCCACACAAAGAATTCTGTATTTCTCAATATCACACCCTTTTTCCTTTAAATATTGAAGCTCTCAAAATCATCTTTGGAAAAAGATACATAACTTTCTCTCAGAAACAGGTGCTTAACTTTGCCAAATAAACCTCCTAAAATGATTGGGACATGTCTCAGTCATTTTCCTTGATTGACTATGTATAATAGTATGTGTATATATGTGTAATATATACGTAACATATATTATATATTGACTACATAATAGATTATATAATATTTATAATAGTATGTATATATAGTAGTCTATATATATAGTAGTATGTGTATCTATAATATATACATACAATATATTTTACTTTGACTATAGTCAATGTATAAATAGGATAGACTATATATATTATTATGGACTATGTATATTATAGACTATATATAGTACCACTCAAATGACTTTAAATCACTATTTATTTTTAAAGTTTTCTCTTGCCTTTCTGACTTCAATGTAAAGTTTGGTATTCTTAAGAGTACAGCCCAATTAATTAATTTTTATATATGTGTATAATCCTATTACCACTACCTGTATAAAAATAAAGACTATTTCCACTCTAAAGAAGAAATGGTAATATATTTCTTTTTCTTATCCATTGCAAGGTTCATGGCTGAGGCCTCGATTAAAAAGAAGAGATTAACAATAAAAAAGCACACAAATGTTACAAGGTTTATGTGGCACCGAAATGAAGACCCAGACAGGTAAAACTGTGCATGTTTGTGTGTGTGTGTGTGTGTGTGTGTGTGTGTGTGTGTGTCTGTGCATGTATATATATATATACAAACATATTTGTACACAAACATATAAACAAATATGTGTTTATATATATTTACACACACACACACACACACACACACACATCCACACACACACATATTTTTTGTTGTTGTTGTTTTCTTAGAAACAGAGTTTCACTCTTTCACCAGGGCTGGAGTGCAGTGACACGCTCACAGCTCACTGCAGCCTCAATCTTCTGGACTCAAGTGATTCTCCCACCTCACCGTCTCAAGAATGGGATTACAGGTAAGGGTCCCAGCACCTGGCCCCAGAAAACTGTGTATTTTTATAATCAGTCATACAGAAGTATGACTGGAGGACAAAGGTTGTGATCTAGTGGTAATAAGCTATGAAAATCTAACAAGGCCTGTCTGTTAATATTCTTCTTGGCTTCTTTGGTGTCCTTCCTTTTCTTTAGGTATAGGTAGAACCCCTTGGGAATGTAGATCTTATGATCTACTTTAGAAGAAGGTCAGATAGTTACTTTATGGCATGATTTAGGGGAGTAAAGAAAGAAAGGTAAAGCAAACGGGGCAATAACCTTCCTTGTGGGGAATGCTCCTGTGTGAGGCACCCCAAAAATAGGCCTCACAATATGTAGGGCTCGAGCCCAGACACAGTGTCTCCAGTTGAGGGAGTCGAACTATCGGAAAGCAGGAACAGAGAGAGACTAGGTTAAAGTTAAAGTTGTGGGCAATCCCCAGATGGCCATGAAGTCATGAGATGTATTGTGTACGATAATTGAGTTTTCTACTAAGACATGCAATAATGGAGTTTTCTACTAAGACATGTTTTACGACTTTGCTGATTTTCTCTAGAAGATAAATGACTTACCCTTAGATGAGATAATGTGGCCACCTGTTCTGGTTAATTAAATGACTTGCCCCTAGATGAGATAGTGTGACTACCTGTTCCGGTTAATTGTGTATCTGACCTTTCCATTGTTCTTACCCTATCACGTTGGTTTTTCTACTTTAAGACTTTCTGTACCCCTTTGTCTCACGTAGACACATACCTAAAAAAGATACATATACTGACCCTGAGCACGAATAAAGTTGTTGGTAAAGCATATGCTTTTCAACCCTCCAGACCCCATCTGTCTATCATTCTTTGTCTTCCGTGCACCCCCCTATCCAAGTTGGAACCCCCTTGCAGGTCGAGAGCTCCTGGTAGACGTGCTCCCGATACTTCCTACTTTTGCTGTTTCCTTAAATGCCAAGACGCCATATTTTGGAGTACTGTGACCTGAATTTTACTCCACTATAAGAGAAGTGTCCCTCTTCTCACCTCTCAGTCAACACCCTCTGAATGGTAACCACTATCCTGACCTCTAGCATAACAGAGTAGTTTGGCTTATTCTTGAAATTCAGATAAATGGAATCATGTATTTGAATTTACACTTACAGTGTCTTGCTTCTTTTACTCAAGTTTATATCATTGAGATTCATTTATGCTGTGGCTTATAATAGTTGATTAATTTCTTTTTTTAGACTGGGTTTGTTCTGTCACCTAGGGTGGACTGCAGTGGTGTGATCACAGCTCACTACAGCCTCAACCTCCTGGGCTCAAGCAATCTTTTTGCCTCAGCCTTCTGAGTAGCTGGGACCACAGGTGTGTATCACCATGCCTGGCTAAATTTTTTATTTTTTTACTTTTTGTAGAGACAGGGTCTCACTGTTTTGACCAGGCTGGTCTCTAACATCTGGGCTGAAGTGATTCTCTGCCTCAACCTCCCAAAGTGTTGAGATGACAAATGTGAACCACTTTGCCTGGCCAATTTTTCTATTGCAGTTTTACATCCCATTGTATAAATACAGAAAATGTATTTATTCCTTCTACTATTAGAGAAAGTTTGAGTTGTTTTCAAACTTTTTGGCTGTTTACAAACTCTACATTAATATTTTTGCACGTTATTTTAGTAGCTAGAAATAAAAACTTCCATTAGGTAATGTGGAATTTTTGTATGATGATATGTATTTATATTGATATTTAATATATGCTACTAATAGATTTCAAAGGAGATTGTAACACTTGACACTCCCAAGGACAATGTATGAAAGTTTGAGTGTCTACAACAGTCTTTTTAAAACTTTATAGAACATATTTTTAAAAAAATATTAGTTTTGTGGTGAAAGAATAGTGGCATTTTATTATAATTTTAATTTGCATTTTTCCAATGGAAAAATGGACTAATACAGATGTTAAGGATATTTTTTTTCTTTTACAGTATCAACATCCAATTGACTTTACACCGTGTATTAATAACTATCCTTTACTTAATTTCATGGATTCTTTCTTATAACTAAGATGTCTATATATTTGTTGGTTTGATTCTCAACTCTATTCTTCTTCACTGGTCTTTTTCTTTCTTTCACCAGTAATACACTTATATTTATGAACGTTATATATCTTGATATCTAATATGGACTGAATTGTTTTCCTTCCCAATTTATATATTGAAGTCCTAAACCCAAATGTCACTCTATTTGGAGGTAGAGCTTTTAAGGAGGTATTTAAGACTAAGTGGATCTTAAGCATGGAATCCTAATCCGATAGGACTAGTGTCCTTACAAGAAGAGGAAGAAACATCAGAGAGTGTGCTTTCTGTGTTTCTGTCTCTGTGTATACTTATGCACAGGGGAAATAAAGTGTAAGAACAGTTAGAAGACAACTGTCTGTAAACCAGGAAGAAATGCCTTATCAGAAACTAACCCTGCCAGCATCTGGATCCTAGACTTTGAGATAATAAATTTCTTTTGTGTAAACCACGCAATCTGTAGTCTTTAGTTATGGCATCCTAAGCAAATTAATACAATACTATAGTTTCTCCTTATCAACAATTTTGATTTTCATGGTTTCAGTTACCTGTGGTTCAGTAAAATAAGATACTGAGACAGAGAGAGCGAGAGCGAGAGAGAGAGAGAGAGAGAGAGAGAGAACAAATTCACATACTTTTATTATGGAAATTTTTATAATTGTTTTATTTTATTATTAATTATCATATTTTCAGAATCATACAAAATATTACCAATAACTTTTTAAAAGATACTTTTAAATAATTGATCTTTTATAACCACTTTTATGAGATATTTTTAAGTAACAAATAAATTTTGGATTTTTTAAATGCTTTTCCCACAGCTGTTGAGGTGATCATATTACTTTTATCATTTATTCTGTTAATATAGTAAATTATATTATTTTCTAATATTAAATCAAACCACATTATGGTAGTTATAATCAAATCTGTTTTATATATCCTAGATTTAATTTATCAATATTTGCCTTTGGTGTTTTGTATCTATATTGATGAGAGATATTTGCCTGTAATTTTTTTATGTCATCATCAGACATTTATCTCAAAGTTATTCTGACCTTATAAACTCAGGTAAGGAATGTTCCGTATTTTTCTACATTCTGGAAGAGCTGGGTAAATTTTGTTATTTTTTAAATTAAATATTTGGAAGATTACACCAGTAAGTCATTTGTGTGTGGATCTTTCTTTGTAGAATAAATTTCTTTGTAAAAATTTAATTATTTAATATGCACAAGACTTTTCAAGTTTCTCTATTTCTCCATGTTCTTTTAAGGTGAATTTTCAAGAAGTTTATGAATTTGTGAATTAATTTAAAATGGTCAGTTTTATTAACAAGAAGCTGTTCATAATATTTATTTTTTTGAAATGTCTAGAAATTTTTTTTTCAGGAGGTCCCAGCCCCACTTTATTGCCGAATTTAAAACTCAGAGTCAATTCCTGGGGTTCCCAGGCAACCTTTCCTCGAGCCCACTCACTAGGGGCCAGTCCTAGATCTTGAAAGTCAAGGTGAGGCCATCGCCCATGGGCAGGAGACTGATGTAGGCCCTCACGTCCCGCCGGATACATTCCTTCAGGTTCCGCACACATTCGGCCGCCAGGTCCCCCTGCGGAGGTTGCAGCACCTTTCGGTTCCACAGGACTCTGAGGACGGCGAGGATGCCTCCTGGCCGCAGCAGCTGCAGGCAGCGCTCGTAGTAGGCAGCGCAGTTCTCCCTGTCCGCGTCCGCCACGGCCACGTCGAAGGTGCCGGCCTTGCCCTCTGCCCTCAGCTCGTCCAGGGTCTCCAGGGCTGGCTTCAGCCGGAGGTCGATCTTGAGCTCCGCCTCAGCCTGCCTCCACAGGGGCCGCCCCAGCTCCGGGGGCTGCGTGTCCACCTCGCAGGTCACCATGCGCCCATCCGCGGGCAGCGCCAGGGACAGCGTTAGGGCGGAGTAGCCCGTGAAGGTGCCTAGATCCAGCGCCTTCTTAGCCTGGATGAGCCGCGCCAGGTTGGCCAGGAGCTGGGCCTGCTCGCAGGTCATCATGGAATCCCCCTGCGACTGCTCCAGGGCCAGTAGCCTCAGGCTTCGCAGCACCGGGTGCTCCCGCATGGGAGATACTGCCACAGGTGGCTGTCCTCGCGGGGAAGCAGGTGCAGCTCTCGCAGGCCTTGCCATGAGGGCCACTGCCTCCCTAGGAAGATGCCAGTGGCGAAGGCAGTGCCCAGCGCGGCTGAGCCCAGGGCCAGTGCGGCGGGCACGGAGAGCTGGGGCACCCGCTGGGTCATGGTGCGGGCAGGAGGCTGCGGGAGGCGGTGGCAGGTCCAATGTCCAGAAAAATTTTAATGATGTCCTTTTAAAATTTGATACTGCTAATTTATTTTTTTCTCTTTTTTGATGATTGTTGTAAGAGGTTTAATCCTTTTTAATCTTTCAAAAAATAAATATTTGGTTTTGCTATTTTTTCTAGTGTATAACTTTCTATTTTTTTTTGCTTCTAAATTTATTATTTTTTTTCTTTCTATTTCATTGCATTTTAATTTGCTGTTAATTGCTTATGATCTTAGAAAGGAAGCTTAGATCATTTATTTAAAATCTTTTACTTTATTTTATTTCATATTTAGAGATGGTTTCTCACTATGTTGCACACTTTGGCTTGAAGTCCTGAGCTTAAGCAATCCTCTTGCCTCAGCCTTCTAACTAGCTGGAATTACAGGCATATACCACCATGTCTGGTTTTAATTTTTATATTGTAACTTAAGGCTGTATATTTGTCTACAATTTTTTTATGGCTGTGTTCCACATGTTTTTTATATGTCTTATTTTAATTTTCATTCACTTAAAATTATATTTTAGTTCATGTTGTGATTGGTTTTTTGATCCATGGGTTATTTAAATATGTGTTAATTTTCAAAAAGATCATTCTTAAAAGTTTTCTTTATATTATTGATTTCTAGATTTATTTCACTGTGGTCGGATACAATAATTTCTATGACTTTAATTCTTTGACACATGTTAAGAGTTACTTTAAATGTCAAGTATGATATATCTTGGAAAATGTTCCATGTGTACTTCAAGCAAATATCTACCTGGCATATGTTTGGTGTAGAGTTCTTTATATGGAATTAAGTTCAAATCTTCTGTATTGTTTACAATTTTTTGTTCTACTTCTTTCGATCAGTACTGTGTGTGAAAACCTTCTACTGTGATTGTAAATTCACCTATTTCTATTTTCAGTTGTGTCAAGTTTTGCTTTACATATTTTGAGCTTAAATTATGAGGTACATAAACATTTAGAATTGTTTTAGCATCCTTTTCAATAGATCCTTTCGTCATTAAGACATCTGTGTCTTAATTTCTGTAACATTTTTTGACCTAAAGTTTAATTTGTCTATATTAATTTAGCTATAGAAACTTTTGTTTGCTTAGTGTTTTTATAATATATCATTTTTCATTCTTTTACTTTAAACTTTGCTCTTTCATAAACACAACCAGAAGTTCACAATTTTTGTTTTTTTATTAGATTAAGCCTGAGAATCTGTTTGTTTTTGAACAAGTAATAGGTATCTGTTTAATTAATTGTCAGTTACATGTCACTGTCACAGCGTCCTTTTTTTCTTTGTATTTTTTTCTTGCCTGAAGAGTTCTATTTATGTTTCATTATAAACATGTTAATTTTATAATCTCTTTTATACTATTTTATTACTTCTTATAACTAGAAAATAAATTCTCATGTTTGTTTCTTTTGCTGAATTTCTTTTCTTATTATTTATATCCTCAAATGACACATAACATTTTTACTGAGGTATTCTTCAGTGAAAGTAATCTCTCTTTATTCCCCGATAAAAACCCATATATAATAGTTTTTCTAGAGAAGATTTTTCCCATTATATTTTCAGTGGTTTTACCTGCATGGGACAGATTTTCTCTTCATTGTTATTGTCTAAACTTGAGATTATTGCACTAAATGAGTAGCATTAATTTAGAGCTTGCACCTAGGACAGGCTTACACTTTCAATTTCTCATGAGATGTGTCTTTTTCTTTCTACCTGAGAACCCAAAAATTGTTTGTGAATAGGAATTTTCCAATCTTTTTTCAATGATTGAATAAAAATCAAAAGTCCTGGTTTAATTCAGATTCCCAGGACCAACATTATGCATTGGGCAGGCCTGAAGCCATGCATTCGCTTTGTTTGTAAATATTGAAAACCAGGCCCTTTGCCATTGGTCTAAGATCCATCAGGACAACTATGGTATTTGCCTTAATTTACTTTTCTGGCTTTGTTTCTAGCAGCTGGGAGTTTCCTTATCTTTTAATCTCAGCTACAAATATGTACAAGTGATATTTACAAGTACAAAAGGTTTTGTAGAACCGCTCCAGCAATTAGGAAACAGAAAGCCTAATAAAAGTAAGATTTTCCAACAGCACCATGACTTATTACCAACTGGAAAAGCATATGCTTTGGATGTTTGCTAAAAGTGCATCTGCAAATGGTGAAAACACAGCTCAAAATTAAAGATTGCTAATTACTACATTAATTTAAAACTGCGTGGGAAAACAAAGTAATCTAATTAAGGTTAATTGCAAATCCTTACAACGAGAATGTAGAAATTACAGCAGGGGAGCTATATGGGTAATTTTTTTTTCTAATAGGCTACATTATTATTATCATGTATTAAACAAGACACTGCATGTCTTTGTTCTCAAATTTTAGATACTTCTCTCAATTTGAATCATCTGTTTAAGATCATTGTTCTTTAGCTAATCTATTTGTAAGGAAATAATATCACTCTATACTTCTGCAAGCCCAAACACTTCCTATATCCTGTCAAGCAGACAACACTTTTAGGAAGCTAGCAACCTGAACAGAAACACACAGTTCACTAGATTTTGTTTGTTTCACCTTTTTTTATTGGTAAATTACTACACTGGCTGAAGAAAAATTAAGAAACCCTTTTATTTGTATTTGAATTCTATATTAATATGTTCATAAGTTCTTTAATCAATTTTGAGATTATGACTAAAAGGTGTTTTAAGGACATTTGCTGTAATCATACTTTGTTTAAAAACACAAACTAAACATAGTTAGAACTCAAATAAGTGAAAGTTGTCCCAAATCTGCCTTTGTTACTTTTATATGGTGTACAACTGAACACGCTTCCATTATTTTTTGGTCTCCAGCTATCTAAGCCACAGCATGGCATTTTATTCAGGATTAAATAAAAATTGCATAGGATACATGGAATTAACACAAGTGGCTGAAAAGTTGAAATACATTCTAACGAATGTTTCGAGTTTATTTCATAGTATCAATGGGACAGGTAAAAAAGTACGAATTTAAAATGTGACCAATTCTTTGAATCAATAAAATGATCTCTTTGTGCAATTAATTTTCCTTTTCTCACTTCCTATCGTGCTTTTTATTTTCATTTACTTAATTACCTCTAGCTTTTTTCATGTATCTTCCACATACACTTTATAGTATGTGTTGAAAAATGTGCACTTTGAATGAAGAGACCTTCCAAACAGGCTTTGTGTGAGCAACATAGCTGTTTATTCACCTGGGTGCAGGTGGGCTAAGGCCGAAAAGGGCATTAGCAAAGGGCAGCAAGATAGGATTTGGTTTTATAGGTTTGGGAAGTTTTTTGGGGGGATGGGGGTGTTGCAGAGTAAGTTCAGTTATAGTGGTGGGGGGTAGGGGCAAAGAATATACATGACCACAAGTTCAGTTACAATGGCAGGGTTGGTTGAGAGGTATTTAAATTATCATAAGAACAGTTAAGATGGCAGGATGGGTGAGAGGTGTTCACATTATCATAAAAACAGTTAAGATGGCAGGGTTGGGTGAGGGGCTTGTCTGGGGAAGCTCTGCTGGGTGATCAGGGACAATGGTCAATGCAAGCAGCGGGTGGGAGACATAAGCTGAGGCAAGCAGGACTTCAGACTTTCAGACTCCAGGCTTGCATATGGAGACTTGACATAATGTTCCTGAAGGTAAAGTTTCTCTCTATCTAATTCTTGGATTTTGTTATGCACAGGTTATGTATATGCACACATGCAAACACACGAGCACACATGCACACACACACACACATGCACACACATCTGAAAAATTCGAAGTTGAAGAAATTAAAAAGATATAGTTTTGGTGACCTTCTATAGAGTAGCTTTTCCACTTTAAATAACTATAAACTTTAACAGAGAAAAAAATAAATATACATTAGTGATGATAGTGCATATATGTAATTCGAAAGCCCTGAAAACTGTATAGCTTATATACACACCAATTATATTAACTTATTTAGTTTATTTAAAAAATTCTTTTACTTTATTTTGAAGGAAGCCAATTAAGAAAAAGAATACAAATAATAAACTAATAGTAAGTAAACCTGGTTCCTAGTCCTTACTCTGTTATTGTATTAGTCTGTTTTCATGCTGCTGATAAAGAAATACCTGAGACTGGGCAATTTACAAAAGAAAAAGATTTAATTAACTTAAAGTTTCACAATGCTGAGAAGGCCTCACAATTATGGCAGAAGGTGTAAGAAAAGAGTTTCTCTTAGCGGCAGACAAGAGAAGAGAGTTTGTGCAAGGAATCTCCCCCTTCTAAAACCATCAGATCTTGTGAGACTTATTTATTATCATGAGAACAGCATGGGAAAGGCCTGCCCCATGATTCAATTAACTCCCGCCAGTCTCTCCTATAACACGTGGGAATTCAAAATGAGATTTAGGTGGGAACACAGCAGAACCATATTATTCTGCCCTAGCCCCTCTCAAATCTTATGTCCTCACATTTCAAATCCAATCATGCCTTCCCAACAGTCCCCCGAAGTCTTAACTCATTCCAGCATTAACGGAAAAGTGCGCAGTCCAAAGTCTCATCTGAGACAAGGCAAGTCCCTTCCACCTATGAACCTGTGAAATCAAAAGCAAGTTAGTTACTTCCTAGATACAATGGGGGTAAAGGCGTTGGGTAAAGTCTCCTGTTCCAAATGGGAGAAATTGACCAAAATAAAGGAGTAACAGGTTCCATGCAAGTTCAAAATCTAGTGGGACAAATCATAAAGCTCCAAAATGATATTTGACTCCGTGTCTTATATCCTGTTCCTGCTCATGCAAGAGGTGAGTTCACATGGCCTTGGGCAGCTCTGCGTCTGTGGGTTGCAGGATCTAGACTCCCTCCCAGCTGCTTTCATGGGTTGGTGTTGAGTGTTTGTGGCTTTTTCAGGTGCGCCACGCAAGCTGTTGGTGGATCTACCATTCTGGGGTCTGGAGGAAGATAGA